GATATCTATGATGAGTTTAATCGTACACTTTAAAAGAGACAGTATACAGGGGACCAACTTTTCAATCCTGGTATCCATGATGAGTTTAATCGCAGACTTTGAAAGCGACAATTTACAGGGGATGAACCTTTTAATCCTGGTATCTATAATGAGTTTAATCGTACACTTTAAAAGAGACAGTATACAGGGGACCAAATTTTTAATCCTGGTATCTATGATGAGTCTAATCGTAGACTTTAAAAGCGACAGTATACAGGGGACCAACTTTTTAATCCTTGTATCCATGATGAGTTTAATCGTAGACTTTAAAAGAGACAGTATACAGGGGACCAACTTTTTAAAAGAAATAGCAGAACAATTAATCAACTTGCGGTATCATCCAAATGTTGTTTCGTAACGAGAGAATACAAAACATTTGATGTGTACCTGACTTACAAACCGTGGTTGATTGTTAGAGTCGTTCCTATCCCAGACGTAGTCAACTATGATATTATACCATACATATAATCCAGTGAATAAGCAAAATATCAACGACTAGTTAGATGAAAGGTATTTCTATGGAAAAAAAGCCGCAATGAAACAGATTAAACAAGAAATGGAAGGCTCTGCTACACATTTTATCAAATAATATACTATTATATTGGCACCGATAAAAACACAATATGGACAAAATTTGAAATCAAAACGCATGGACAAGCATATTCCATCCAAATTTACCAACACAAGTGTATAGAAATAAGTAGTTGTCAGTTTGTTTTCGATCTATGAGTTTGACTGTCCCTCTGTCATCTTTCGTCCCTCTTCTCTAAAATAACAAAAATACCGAACTCCAAGGAAAATTCAAAACGGAAAGTCCTTAATAAAATGGCAAAATCAAGATCTCAAAAACATCTAACGAATGGAAAACAACTGTCCTATTCCTGACTTGGTACAGGCATTTCCTTATGCAGAAAACAACTTTCAAGGCGTAAAAAGAGATCACACAAAAAAACAAGAAAACAGAGAGACTAGAGTAGATTCAAATACATATCAAAAGAAATTAAAACATTATGCAAAGAAACATATATAACAGCAGACGAGGATATTACCAACAATCTCAAACAATTTTTAGAGCTTCATTAAAAGTAAAAAAGCAGAGACACAAGGGGTAGCCCCTCTGCAAAAGAAAGGTATACTGTACAGTAACAGTAACACTTAAACCAAAATTTTTATTTTTTGCCAGTTGGTTTTCAATAAAAAAAAACGTCCTAACCAGCTGTTCTAGACGCCATCATAATAGCTCCATGTGTGCTGAAGCTTTTATGTAATATCACCCAAAGAAAGCGGCAGGTCCTGTTTCCATCAAAGTAAGACTCCATAAGGAATTAGCAACTATAGACCTGTGTCATTTTAAACATCTTCAGTTTTCTATTTAGTGTTTTGTAGACTGTTGTTTATCTTGTGGTCGTTTTTCGTCAAGTTGGTATAGGGAATTTATATAATAAAGTACCAATCTGCCTAAGAATCAGGCAGTGGTGAAAACATGACAAACAAAAACCCACTCAAGTTGACATTAATTTATGTTCAAAATGTATAATGGTGCACGAATATAACATTCGTTTCCTTGTCCTGTTCTGTTAATTCAAGATATTATTTGTTTGAACTGCACTAGAAATTAACAATTAAGGGGAGCTAACTCCGTAATTTGCTATCATTCTAACCAAAATTTATCTAGAGATTTCTCGAATTAACAGACACGCAGAAACAAAAGACCTACCATTTCTAACTCAGGATGAGGGTAACTTCAAAATAGGATGGTAACGTCGGTGGGTTTTTTTCTGCCATGTTTTTTTTTCAAAATTGCCTGATTCTTACAAAGACTGGCACTTAAACCATATAACATATCCCTATTTTCTGAAATGAAAGTCAACAAAACACTATTGTACATAGAATATTAAAGACCAGACAACAATAACAAAACACTATTGTACATAGAATAGAAAAGACCAGACAACAATAACAAAACACTATTGTACATAGAATAGTAAAGACCAGACACAATTACAAAACACTTTTGTACATGGAACATTAAAGACCATACAACAATAACAAAACACTATTGTACATAGAATAGTAAAGACCAGACAACAATAACAAAACACTATTGTACATAGAATAGTAAAGACCAGACAACAATAACAAAACATTTTTGTACATGGAACATTAAAGACTACACAACAATAACAAAACACTATTGTACATAGAATATAAAAGACCAGACAACAATAACAAAACACTATTGTACATAGAATAGTAAAGACCAGACAACAATAACAAAACACTATTGTAAATAGAATATTAAAGACCAGACAACAATAACAAAACACTTTCGTACCTAGAACATTAAAAACCAGACAACAATAACAAAAAACTATTGTACATAGAATATTAAAGACCAGACAACAATAACAAAACACTATTGTACATAGAATATTAAAGACCAGACAACAATAACAAAACACTATTGTACATAGAATAGTAAAGACCAGACAACAATAACAAAACACTATTGTACATAGAATAGTAAAGACCAGACAACAATAACAAAACACTATTGTACATAGAATAGTAAAGACCAGACAACAATAACAAAACACTATTGTACATAGACTATTAAAGACCAGACAACAATAACAAAACACTATTGTTCATAGACTATTAAAGACCATACAACAATTACAAAACACTATTGAACATAGAATATTAAAGACCATACAACAATTACAAAACACTATTGTACATAGAATATTAAAGACCAGAAAACAATAACAAAACACTATTGTACATGGAATATTTAAGACCAGACAACAATAACAAAACACTATTGTACATAGAATATTAAAGACCAGACAACAATAACAAAACACTATTGTGCATAGAATATTAAAGACCAGACAACAATAACAAAACAAATCGGGGCTGGCTTTTAACTGTATTTTTTTTCTGTACGTTTTTCAAACAGATTGGAATTAGAAAGAGGGCGGTATGAGATCTCGTTTAACCACGTGACAATTTTATGTGAAACGTCGGTAGTCGTATGTCATATCTTCATGATTTTCGTTATTTAGAGGAATGTAAATGTAAGTGTCGTTGTGTTGCTGAATCATGACGTATATCCTAACTTTCCGTTTAATCGTAGGAGTGTTTGAGTAACGTTAACCTTGTACGACAATCTTTTTTAAACACTTTAGAAGTTACCTGTTAAGAAATAGTGTTTTTCTTGTTTAACATCGACAAAAAAAATATCATAATCATTTGTTCACTTACTATACTTGTAATTGCTCTGCTTCTTTTGGGTGTCATAATCGATAAATATTGATATTGTATTGTTTTGTAATGTATTTTCTTCGCAACGCGGTGTCAAGCTATAAGTCTCATTCGATATCCATTATAACTTTACAAACTCTGTTCTGATTGGTTGCGTTGCCGTATGATATGGAAATGTTTCTATTGGCTAGAAAGGAATATAGAATGTGAAACATGTCATGGACAGGGGAAGAGGCAAAAGATACCAAAGAGATATTACAAACATAAGTCGAAAACAAACTTACAAAGCCATGGCAAAAACAAACTTACAAAGCCATGGCAAAAAAAAACTTACAAAGCCACGGCAAAAACAAACTTACAAAGCCATGGCAAAAACAAACTTACAAAGCCACGGCAAAAACAAACTTACAAAGCCATGGCAAAAACAAACTTACAAAGCCACGGCAAAAACAAACTTACAAAGCCACGTCAAAAACAAACTTACAAAGGCATGGCAAAAACACACTTACAAAGCCACGGCAAAAACAAACTTACAAAGCCACGGCAAAAACAAACTTACAAAGGCATGGCAAAAACAAACTTACAAAGGCATGGCAAAAACAAACTTACAAAGCCATGGCAAAAACGAAAAGACAAACAGTACACAAAACACAAGAAGGACTGAGCAACAAGAACCCAACCAATAACCGGGAGTTATCTTGGGTGCTCCGGAAGGGTAAGCAGATACTACTCTACATGTAGCAACGGTCGTGTTGCTCATCTAAGTACAAACCCGGTGATAAGTCTAATTTAGTAGGTCTGATTCAAGGAAAAGAGGAAGGGATTGTGGTTACGACAATTAGAACATATCCGTCGTTATCTGTGAAACAGATATTCCATAACAGTCAACCAACTCGTGATGGCGTTAAATTTTCGATGGGATGATTTCAAATTCGGAAGATAAGTATGGGTATTCAACAATTATTGCATCATGTTGACGTTGTCTATGATACTGCGAAGCACTCCGTTCCTATTAAGAATTGTAAGACTTGTGAATATTTACCTTGAAAATTTTCGTTTCCCTTAACAGGGGATTAGTTACGAATTCCATGTTTTTTTTCTCGGACTAACAACGTTAACTGTCTGAAACAAATTATTGTTTCAATGAAATTGAGAATTAAATATTGTTTTATAAACCATGCTCCCCCGCCCAACCACAAAGACGATTGGACGCTGCTTTAGTAATTATGATAAAATAACACTAATATTTGGTAATTTAGATGGGTTTTTTTTATGACTGGCCGACATTTATTTTTTTTAAAAGAAGAGCTTATAAATCCAAAAGGACAAGAAGTGTAGCCAATGGCGGGAAAAGAATCTAAGCCAATGGCGGGAAAAGAATCTAAACTTTGCATAAGGTAACAGCAGTTTTTTAATTACACAATATCCGTATTTTCATGACACTACTAGCTACTGGACTGGTGATACCCCCGTGGACTAACAATCAACCAACAGAGGTATCCACTACCGGCTACTGGACTGGTGATACCCCCGTGGACTAACAATCAACCAACAGAGGTATCCACTACCGGCTACTGGACTGGTGATACCCCCGTGGACTAACAATCAACCAACAGAGGAATCAACGTAGGGATAGTAATAACAGTGGTACAATTTCTTTTTACTGCACCAGGTGCGCATTTCGACAATAAATGTTAAATTTTATAAAGATTTAATTATATTAGATAGCTATAGCGATTACAAAAAACAGTATGCATACTATTAGGCTACATAACTCAAGAAAGTTACTCAGCGGTTGAAAAACAAACGAGCTTCCATACAATATATCTGTAAATAAACAAATGTCCTACATAAAGCCAATGTATGGAGGTCTGGTGGGGTGTACAAAAAAGATAGTAACGCTCAAAAAATAAAAAAGGAAAAAGTGGGTCAAGAGAGAAAGAAAAGAGGTTAATTGGTTTTGATATACACATGTATATAGAAGTGAAAGTGTTGTTGTTTAGCGTCCAGGAAAAATGAAGAATAATTGGTGAAAAGTAACAATACAGAAATGAACATCCTTTCCTCCATTTAGATCATCCTTATCATAAAAATGTACAAGGAATAAGATAATAAAGCATACATGACAAATAAATGGTATTAAAGTGAGTATAGGGTTTTAAAATTGTATGTAAGTCATGTGCGTTTTTCTCAACTCAATTTAAGATGTAAACGATTTTGCGTCCAATCGAAATGTTCTGGACCATTTACATTTCCTAATATCCCGGAAAAACTTCCGTACTTCTTGTTTGAATTTTTTGTCCAGAAACCAGTAAATAATAGGGTTAATCATGTTGTTGATAAAATATGATCGCAGTAAAAGATTGAAAATTACCAGTTCACTCATGCTCATTTCATTCCAAAATTCGTCATTTAGACTATTTAACACCTCGATTATTAAATATGGCAAAAAGCTGATTATGAATATCAAAGTTATGAGGAAAAGCATGGTTGTTATTCGGACCGTTCTCATCTGCTTTTTAGTAGCAAATTTGCTGTTTCCTCGTTCACACGGACCCTCGTCTCCGCTCGTGCTTGATAGTTCTGACATCAGACGTTTTAGCTTCTTCCTGTGCAAGCTTTCTTCCTTTCGTTTGGTCCTTGGTGAATTGTAGGCTGAACTTACCGAGTCGGTTTTAAATATTGCGGGTTTAGAACTAAACATTTGAATTGTGCTTTCTTGTCCTCCTTTATCGAATTTAACTGATTGTTTTGAATCGTCTACTATCGAGTGCATTTGAATGACGGTTGTGTCCGGAGTACTAGTTCCGGAAGCTGAACGCTTAGATCCATTTCTACTTGAGTGTGAATCGTGAAAACTTTTTCTCTGCCACACAACGATGCCTACCTTAATATACAGTCCCGTGAGAATAAAAACTGAAACCAGGAAAATCAAAATGTTAATAGCATTGTAAATCAATGGAAAGTCCGAATCCCACATATCAGCAGAGATATAACATTCCTTCCCTGTCACATTTGGATGTTTAGTATCAGTTTCGACAGATCCGTAAATAAACAGCATCGGTGTGGCTAACAAAAGACATACCAAAGACACTACCCAACACGTGATTTTTGTCCCTTTGGCAGACAATTGTTTTTGAAACGGAATACATATCTTCCGATAACGATCAATGGCTATCAAGTCGAGAACAAATATGGATGCCAAGATGGTGAAAGATAAAGCAAATCCTAGACATTTACACGCACCGTCCCACACAAACATTAATGGATATATCATGTCCATGATGTGGAATGGCATCCCCAGCAAACAGGTCAGGAGGTCAAATACTGCAAGACTTAAAATGAAAACTCTAGAGGTACTACGTTTGAAACGGAACTTGTACACGTAAAGAACAAGGAGATTCCCAAAGATTCCAATAATCATTAGAATAATCAAGTATACCGTCACAGGTATCAAGGCCGTTGCTTCCTTGTGATTTTCCCTTTCTAATATTGCATTGTAATCTATTAGTGAGCCGATTTCGGTGTCCTCTATAACAGACAAAGAAGTATTGCTAGATATGCCAACCACTTCGGTCGTTTCAAAATCTGATTTTGAAGTCGTTATGAATTTTGTAACATCCTCAAAAGCATGTGATGAACTTGTAACAGAGTCAATCAGTTTGGTAGAAATAAGATTAGAGGCAGCAGAACTACCATTGCCAAATCTGGATGTCACAGGGTCTAACGTTACATTCTGTGCCATATTTGATATGAAGATATAGTCGTACTAGAAGCCACTTCCAATATTCACCAAGGAAGATTATTATTAAATTATGTAGATTGTAACAAACGGATTAAAAAAACACGAATGTAACCTAATCAATACATCGATCACATATAAATATATCGGAAATGATGTTGTTGTTTATAGAATATTTATCTTGCGTACATATAATATCCGGCAAGTCATCTTCTTTACAGAATAGAGTCTTACCTTTATTCACTAAATGAACGCGTGCATCGAAGCATAATACTTCTGGAAATGCTAATAGCCAATGATTAGACGTGCTAAAAGGAAATGTTTTCAAATTATTTGCGAAGTCATAGTTCGAATGCATTCTTTGGTAAAAATTTGTTTCCTACTTATATTTACTGCACTTTGAAAGTCTCAAGCCAGTGGAATGCATATTACGTGTACGTACATAAGAAAGAAATACCAAATATGATGTGATCAGATACTATCAAATTCCTTTCTGGTTATGAACAAATTATATGATACTATTCAATTATTTAGTTATTTTAAATGAAGGTCTGGTTTGGGGTCGTTATTTTCAATGAGGGCCTGGTTGTGGGTCGTTATTTTCAATGAAGGTCTGGTTGTGGGTCGTTATTTCTAATGAGGGTCTGGTTGTGGGTCGTTATTTTACATGAGGGTCTGGTTGTGGGTTATTATCTTAAATGAGGGTCTGGCTGTGGGGTCTACATTTCTATATTCCTTAAACTTTTAAACGATTATTCTCTATTTATTATTTTTCTCTCTATTATTCTCTTTCCTTTAATTTTCTCTTAAACCATTTCTATTCTCTATATTTTTTAACCTATTTCTATTATTTTTTTTGTGATAATTTCTCTATTCTTTCATTTTCGGCTGGTATTATTTGTTCTTTTATTTTCGTTAGTTATTCCCTATTTTGTAAACAAGAGGCAACTGTGGTAATTAATATTGTAAATTAATTGAGAAGATAAAAATCAAGGTATAAAATCTAAAATTGAAACGTTTGTTCTATTTTAAGATCAAAGACTTGTTCTATTTTAAAATCAAAGACTGCAGATATATGTCGGTATTCAGTTAAGACACAGATATCGTATCGGTCAACCAGTTCGTGTTGGTGATCGACCGTATAACTTATATTGTGTTTCCGCATTACTCTGTTGGAGCAGTGTTGTGTCAGGACCACACCCCTGTAAATAGAGTTCGAATAGTTTGAACAAGCACAAGAGTTTATTATCAATTCAGCCAAATACAAATTAAGCCTATTATTTTATTTCACCATAGAGAACGACATTTAAGTTGTAGAAAAAAGTGGGAACTTGGAAAAATTGATTAATATATTGTAATAAATGAGAAAGAGCAACAAAAAGAGTGGGGTTTGAGAATGAATACTACCATGGAAGAAACCTTATTGACGTATACATATATCCTCGTCTCATGGGTTATCGTGCTATTAACAATGCATTTTGAAGTCACAATTTCCATTGAAAAAGCATGCATAGTACGAATTCATATGACGTACGAGAACATATCTTTTGACCATATATTAAATATGTTTACAAACAATTTTTGAGGAAATAACTTTACAACATGTACAAGTAAAGCGCATATCTAAACTCTAGAAAAGAGTAACGTATTTTACAAAAGAAAATGATTAAATATCTAACATCAAATTATCTTGTACTTAACGCACCCTGAATAAAATCAAAGGTTTTTAATTTTTGAATCGTAAATCCGTTTTACCTGACAGATTATTAAGGCTACTTTACGTAAAATATTTACACAAGTAAAAATATAAGTGTTTATCAAAAATCTTAAATTGATTTTGAAAAAAATGTAAAGTTTAGAAACCGAAATTAAATGTCAAGCATTGTAGAATCAAAGCGATACATTCGCAGATGGATCCCCTGGTGTTTTGTTGTCTTTTTGCTGATACACAGGGAACATTCAAATCTCATTAGTCGAAAAAATGAATTCATATCTTAGAATAAGACACAATGCCATCTTTGAAAACAAAATTTCTTGGTTTTAAACTTATTTTTCATCGTTATGTAATGTGTCCAACGGACTGGCAGATTTCGCATCTCACGGAGGTGAGGTGTTCATAAAAACATGTGAGCTATTGTTGTTACTTGGCGTCTTAAGAACAACTGTGGAAAATAAAAGAATCAGGTAATATAATATAATACTGATTACAGAAATGAACAATATACAGAATAAAGCTTTGTCGTTGGGTTGCTTTCTCAACAAAGTAAAAGATACCTTTGTCGTTGGGTTGCTTTCTCAACAAAGTAAAAGATATCTTTGTCGTTGGGTTGCTTTCTCAACAAAGTAAAAGATAATCTTTGTCGTTGGGTTGCTTTCTCAACAAAGTAAAAGATAATCATTGTCGTTGGGTTGCTTTCTCAACAAAGTGAAAGATAATCTTTGTCGTTGGGTTGCTTTCTCAACAAAGTAAAAGATAATCTTTGTCGTTGGGTTGCTTTCTCAAATAAGTAAAAGATAATCTTTGTCGTTGGGTTGCTTTCTCAACAAAGTAAAAGATAATCTTTGTCGTTGGGTTGCTTTCTCAACAAAGTAAAAGATAATCTTTGTCGTTGGGTTGCTTTCTCAACAAAGTGAAAGATACATTTGTCGTTGGGTTGCTTTCTCAACAAAGTGAAAGATACATTTGTCGCTGGGTTGCTTTCTCAACAAAGTAAAAGATACCTTTGTCGTCGGGTTGCTTTCTCAAAAAAGTAAAAGATACCTTTGTCATTGGGTTGCTTTCTCAACAAAGTGAAAGATACATTTGTCGCTGGGTTGCTTTCTCAAAAAAGTAAAAGATACATTTGTCGTTGGGTTGCTTTCTCAACAAAGTAAACGATACCTTTGTCGTCGGGTTGCTTTCTCAACAAAGTAAAAGATACCTTTGTCGTTGGGTTGCTTTCTCAACAAAGTAAAAGATAATCTTTGTCGTTGGGTTGCTTTCTCAACAAAGTAAAAGATACATTTGTCGTTGAGTTGCTTTCTCAACAAAGTAAAAGATACATTTGTTATTGGGTTGCTTTCTCAACAAAGTAAAAGATAATCTTTGTCGTCGGGTTGCTTTCTCAACAAAGTAAAAGATACCTTTGTCGTTGGGTTGCTTTCTCAACAAAGTAAAAGATAATCTTTGTCGTCGGGTTGCTTTCTCAACAAAGTAAAAGATACCTTTGTCGTTGGGTTGCTTTCTCAACAAAGTAAAAGATAATCTTTGTCGTCGGGTTGCTTTCTCAACAAAGTGAAAGATACATTTGTCGTTGGGTTGCTTTCTCAACAAAGTGAAAGATAAGCTTTGTCGTTGGGCTGCTTTCTTAACAAAGTGAAAGATACATTTGTCGTTGGGTTGCTTTCTCAACAAAGTAAAAGTTATCTTTGTCGTTGGGTTGCTTTCTCAACAAAGTAAAAGATAATCTTTGTCGTTGGGTTGCTTTCTCAACAAAGTAAAAGATAATCTTTGTCGTTGGGTTGCTTTCTCAACAAAGTAAAAGATACCTTTGTCGTTGGGCTGCTTTCTCAACAAAGTAAAAGATATCTTTGTCGACGGGTTGCTTTCTCAACAAAGTAAAAGATACCTTTGTCGTTGGGCTGCTTTCTTAACAAAGTGAAAGATACATTTGTCGTTGGGCTGCTTTCTTAACAAAGTGAAAGATACATTTGTCGTTGGGTTGCTTTCTCAACAAAGTAAAAGATATCTTAGTCGTTGGGTTGCTTTCTCAACAAAGTAAAAGATACCTTTGTCGTTGGGCTGCTTTCTTAACAAAGTGAAAGATACATTTGTCGTTGGGTTGCTTTCTCAACGAAGTAAAAGATACCTTAGTCGTTGGGTTGGTTTCTCAGAAAAGTAAAAGATATCTTTGTCATTTTGTTGGTTTCTCAACAAAGTAAAAGATAATCTTTGTCGTTGGGTTGGTTCCTCAACAAAGTAAAAGATACCTTTGTCGTTGGGCTGCTTTCTTAACAAAGTGAAAGATACATTTGTCGTTGGGTTGCTTTCTCAACGAAGTAAAAGATACCTTAGTCGTTTGGTTGGTTTCTCAGAAAAGTAAAAGATACCTTTGTCGTTGGGTTGCTTTCTCAACAAAGTAAAAGATAATCTTTGTCGTTGGGTTGCTTTCTCAACAAAGTAAAAGATAATCTTTGTCGTTGGGTTGCTTTCTCAACAAAGTAAAAGATACATTTGTCGTTGAGTTGCTTTCTCAACAAAGTAAAAGATACATTTGTTGTTGGGTTGCTTTCTCAACAAAGTAAAAGATAATCTTTATCGTCGGGTTGCTTTCTCAACAAAGTAAAAGATATCTTTGTCGTTGGGTTGCTTTCTCAACAAAGTAAAAGAAAATCTTTGTCGTCGGGTTGCTTTCTCAACAAAGTAAAAGATACCTTTGTCGTTGGGTTGCTTTCTCAACAAAGTAAAAGATAATCTTTGTCGTCGGGTTGCTTTCTCAACAAAGTGAAAGATACATTTGTCGTTGGGTTGCTTTCTCAACAAAGTGAAAGATAAGCTTTGTCGTTGGGCTGCTTTCTTAACAAAGTGAAAGATACATTTGTCGTTGGGTTGCTTTCTCAACAAAGTAAAAGTTATCTTTGTCGTTGGGTTGCTTTCTCAACAAAGTAAAAGATAATCTTTGTCGTTGGGTTGCTTTCTCAACAAAGTAAAAGATAATCTTTGTCGTTGGGTTGCTTTCTCAACAAAGTAAAAGATACCTTTGTCGTTGGGCTGCTTTCTCAACAAAGTAAAAGATATCTTTGTCGACGGGTTGCTTTCTCAACAAAGTAAAAGATACCTTTGTCGTTGGGCTGCTTTCTTAACAAAGTGAAAGATACATTTGTCGTTGGGCTGCTTTCTTAACAAAGTGAAAGATACATTTGTCATTTTGTTGGTTTCTCAACAAAGTAAAAGATATCTTAGTCGTTGGGTTGCTTTCTCAACAAAGTAAAAGATACCTTTGTCGTTGGGCTGCTTTCTTAACAAAGTGAAAGATATATTTGTCGTTGGGTTGCTTTCTCAACGAAGTAAAAGATACCTTAGTCGTTGGGTTGGTTTCTCAGAAAAGTAAAAGATATCTTTGTCATTTTGTTGGTTTCTCAACAAAGTAAAAGATAATCTTTGTCGTTGGGTTGGTTCCTCAACAAAGTAAAAGATAATCTTTGTCGTTGGGTTGCTTTCTCATTGATGTTTACTTTGTTTTCCCTTTATACATATTTAAATTACTAAGCGATCTCTTGTTTATAGCTTATTAGAAACAACACCAAATAAATAATGTTTCTTGGCATGAGCCTCTCCTGTGACTATCCAGTAAGAAAACAACCGACAAAGATGTCATAAGTGGTTTCCTCAAATCAACTCTGTTTTATAAATTATGCCAACAAGTAAATCTAACAAATGCAGACAATCATTAACAGTTTTTTTTTTGCTGAGGGAAAAAAAGGACATTGTTTATGCAGAAGAAATTTTCTATGTATTCATTTTGAAGAAAAATATACATCATTTTGTATGAAAACATTGGAAAGTTTGTTTAATTAGAACAAAAAATCTCTGATATGATTATTTGAAAGTGCATTATGATTAAACCGAAATAATATATGTTTATCACCAGCAATGGTGTATGTAGTTTTGACATGTTTTTGAATTAGCATTCCTTCAACGTTTGGAAGAGTAAATATATTTGCGAAAGAAAAGTTCTTATTGGAAAGATTTAAAACTAAGAAAAAAAATGCCACATATTTTTTTTTATCTTAAGGAAACAATCCTATAAAATGATTTTTGTAAGCATGGGAAAATATATTAAAAATTCACTTACATTGGATAGAGTAAGAGAAATGCACGAGTTCTTTGAAATACAGTACTTAAACATTCAAAGTTCATTAATATTGGAAGTGCATTGACATTGGAAAAGCAGTTACATTGGAAGAGTATGTTCGTTGAAAATTATTGAAAGTAGAAGGAATCCGAATTATAGGTTCATGAATATTGTATAGAATATAAGATCAGATTTCAACAATGACAACCAACACGATCATTTCCACAACAGCGAAGTCTGTTTTAAGTAGTCTCGGTGATATTTTCAGAGAAACTACAATGCAGAAAAGTACGACAGATAATATAGTTCCTATAGTAACGTCTGACAATACTACGGCTAGGCAGCAAAATTCTACTGATGCGATTCGGACATCAAACCTTGACGGTGAGAACATTAATCGCCTTTTGAAGATAGAAAACACATTCGAAGCTGAAGCTCTGACGCCAATAACCATTTATCTAATCCTTCTAATGATAACGGGTGTTGTTGGCAATACTATTGTCTTGTATATCTACAAATTCAGGTTCAAAAGGTCAACATCGAGAATATTCATTCTGAGTCTCGCGGCATTTGATTTGATCACGTGTCTTTTGGGGATGCCATACCATATCTTAGACATGCTTTATCCTTATCTGTTTGTATGGGACACCGTTTGCAGAGTTCTAAGTTTTGCTCTCACATTCACGATTTTGGCATCTATATTTATACTGGATCTGATCGCAATTGATCGGTACAGGAAAATTTGTAGACCGTTTGAAAAGCAGCTTTCTGGTATGGGATCAAAGATTATGAGTTGGGTGACTGTCCTTATAGCAATAATTTCTGCCATTCCAATGCTTCTAATTTATGGCGCCGCTGATGTCCCAACCGCTAGGAATCCCAATATAACAGGGAAGGAATGCTATGTCTCAGATGATTATATCGAATCTTATTTCCCATTAGTCTACGATGCTTTTACTTTCATGATTTTTATCGTATCCGCTTTTATTCTAGTCGGATTTTATAGCAAAGTCGGGGTTACAATTTGGAAACGTAGGAAATTTAATGAGTCAAATGAATCAAGGAGATCCGCTTCCAGTCAAAGCACGCCAAACACATCAGTCATACAACTTAACGTCATTACAGATGAAGCCAAACACGGATCTCCTATGCTTGCTCATTTTAGAAAAAATAAAGAGGGTGGTAATGTTCAAATATTTGATTCGAATTCCTCGGTCACGGCACCAAAAGATTCACCTTTACCATACAGATCGACAACGTCTAATCCAAAGAAAGAAAGGATGAACCGAAAAGTAATGCGGTTGATGTCTGAACCGTCAAGTACTGAACACGATTCTTCGACAATTAATCACGGATCTACACGGTCCCACAAAGCATCACACATACATCACGTGACAAAGAAAGAGAAGAGAACACTGAGAATAACAGGCATGTTGTTTGTTATAACACTGATTTTTATTATAAGTTTTCTCCCTTATCTTTGTATACAAATTGTGAACGGTTTGAATGAAGGATTTTGGGACGAAATGAGCATCTCGGAAATTATCCTTTTCAATCTTCTTATGAGGACATACTTTATCAACAACATGATAAATCCTATAATCTACTGGTTCCTGGATCACAAATTTAAAGAGGAGGTTATCAGACTATTTAATAACATGAGAAATTGTAAAGCACCTACTAGATTCGGACAAAAGAGCTTCCATTCGTAACCTTCATGCGAATATATAATCTAGAAGTATACCAGAAGGCATAAAACATTGTCTGAGCAAGTGTATGACGTGAAATCAATCATAATAACATTCGCATGATTAGAATTTTATTTCAAATAATTTATCAATTCGTATTTTATCAACTGTTTCAGTTCTTATAATCATTGGCTTTCAAATATTATGCTTTGAGCGTTCCTTTCCAAGACTATACGGGTTATTTCTCAGTGGTGAGTTTTGTTGGTGGATTGCTGTCTCATCTAAGTTGATTATGTTTTTCTTTAATGCCGTTTTACATTTTATGTAATAGTCAAAGCATGGTATGAAAAAGAAATCATGTGAACTAAAAAGGGATTATCGGTATAAAAATAAGATGTGGTATAATTGCCATCAATGTACTCTTCAAATCTTTTCTTCTGATAGAGTTTAGTTCAAATGAATGCCTCTTATTATTTTGAAACAAACGTTTTCACGTCAATATTTGTTTTCATTTTAACGAAGCTAGTAGTGACGGATCCAGGGTTTCGAGGAAAAGTGAATTGGGCGTAAAAAGTCTCTTTAACGAGGACATCTTTTTTTTTATTTCATGCGAATAAAAAGGATTTTTTTTTCTAGGTCAAACCAGGGAATGTTTGCCCCTCTCGGATCATCCATTGCCTAGTTCTCTCCTTCCATACATGTCGATTTGTTCAGATAAATGAACTTTACCTAATGAACTCAATTTACCTAACTTTTAATTAATGCTTATTTATCTGTATAATTATTCTTTCAATCAAATTCAATAAAGCAATATTTAATGATATATAAAAACCTCACTTTATATTCAGTTTAATATGGTATTTATAAGCTTGTGCACACTTCTGTGTCCCCGAAATGTTAATATAAGTCGCTGGCTTAGGGAGCTACCATTTGATTTTTATGGGGGGGGGGGGGGGCTAGGATGAAATTTGAAAAAAATAGGCAGGACAGGAGTTTTGAGTAAAAAAAAAAGGCAGGATGAGATTATTTGCAAAAAAAGGCAGGATGACAATTTATGTAAAAACAAAAGTCAGGATAAACTAAAAAAAAAAAAGGCAGGACCGAATAGAGTGAAAAATAAAAAGGCAGGACCGAATAGAGGGAAAAATAAAAAGGCAGGACAAAATTTTTCATCCTAGCCCCCCCCCCCCCCCCCCCCCCCCCCTAAAAATTAAATGGTAGCTCCCTTATCATAGTTTGGGACATGGGTTTATTTAAATGAATTGATTGATTCTAACTGAGACTCTAATATAGACAAATTGGTATTTCATATAAATAAGAATTTTACATCACTTGATAGCATTAATACTAAAGAATGTAGTAATATTATCCAGGAAACCAAATATTAGTCTGAATTTTTACCATAAACAATACAAATTGACCTGTAAGACCTCATGTTCTGTAATATGCACCATGACTGGTGTACGTCTACTTCAGGGGAACTCTAATGTAGACAAAATGGTGTTTCATATAATTACAAATATTACATCACTGCATGGTATTAATACTAATGAATGCAGTTATATTATCCGGAAAACAAATTGTTCATCTGAATTAAACCCATTAGCAATGCAAATTGACCAAGCCAAACGGACTACTAGCACTAACTCACTGTTATTTTCAGGTTTGATGAGTAAATTTAAATATAAAAAAGAAGATGTGGTATGATTGCAAATGAGAAAACTCTTCACAAGAGACCAAATCACACAGAAAGTTACAACTATAGGTCACCGTATGTTCGACTTTATCAACACATGGAACGAATGTGTCTTTATAGCTAGCTAAACCTCCCACTTGTATGACAGATGTTTATAGTTCCGTCCTACTGACAAAACTGTGTGAGCAATCCAAACAGACATTATTGGTGTACGTGACAATAATTAGGATCCAAATGTCCGTAATATAAACGTTTGTGAAATGTATTTCAGTTTTTAATGCGTATACGTCTAATTTTATACGTATGTTTTCCATTCGAAGGTACATCAATACACGAACGCTGCGTTGCTATTGTTTTTGTATATAGATAACATAAAAATAACTTCAGGGTTCGAATGAAAAACAAATCAATAAAAAGGTCAAAGTTATGGAATACGACACACAATTCATAGGATATGTACGTGAAGTTAATAATTTGAAAACAAATTAAAGTGTTACTTGAATGCATGTAGCAGGTTTATTATTCAAGAGGAACAGCGCTACAAATAACAAAAAGAAACTCAGAGTAACAAATAGAAGATAGATACTCCCTTTATGAATTAAAAGTACATCGAATAGCAAAAGAAATCTTCTATAAGCCTCTGATACTTTTATTTACTAGTATTTGGTTTCTTCGAAATTTCATGGATTAGTGTTCATGAGTTGCAAAAAAGAAAAAAAAATATCTTGTAAAAGCGTCATTGTGAGATATATTAATATAAAGATTAATACATAGCCTTTTCCATATAGACACGAGTATCATCCCGAGACCCCAATGCCAGCCCGAGACGTTAGTCGAGTGACGATACTCACGCCGATAAGGAAATGTACATGTATTAATCATTTATCATATACTACCGATGTACGAACGCACCCTGGCTGATAACCCATATCAGCTCGACCACGCGACGTCACATAGGGCTGATAACCCTTGGTGTGAATTTATGGCTAGTTTACTTCCGCTCGTTACACATATACGAAAACTATTACAGTAATGCTAAATATATGATAAAAATATTTAACTGGCATCTGTACATCCATTTCTAATATCATAGAATTAGCAAATATAGAAACAGATATATGGGTTGATAAAGAAAAAAACTTTGCGGTATACAAAAGACTAAAATCAAAGATTATAGTCGGCTCTAGTCAGACTATTGTATACTGAGGCGTGACCTGTGAACTAACACGTTTCATATGGAGCTCATCGTATCGGTCTTGTACAAATCATTGTTCCTATCCATATCACATCATTATGTCTGTCCTGATATGCACGTAATATTTGCCACTGGACGTTAAACACATATATATCCGTCAGTTAAATCTGTCAATGACTAAATCAAAGTTTGGTGACTGATTTGGTCGAATTTATCCAATTGGAATTAAAATATAAAATGAAATATTCATAGATAGAGTTACGTCAGTTAATACAATGACGTCCACTAGAAATCAATATTAATATAGTTGAAGGTCTGAAAAGAATTAAATTTATGATCAAAGATATGACTTCAATTTTATCGTTGTGATCTTCCCGAATTGCTGTTGCTGAATTCTGAATTCAGTTGCATCTGTATATGGATGGCATATCTCACAGTTGATAGGCTATTCTGGAACTTGAGTTTTAACGATTTGTTCGATAGAGGGTTGCTCCTGACAAAGGAGCTTCTTAACCAAAGGTTCTTAATTGAAAAAATGACTTAACTTTTCGATCCTTGTTAAATGTTACGGAAAATCCAAACGGCAAACCTCGGTAGAATTTAGCCTGTACCATGTTAATGTTTAATCTGCCGAATGCACGGTTATCCTCCTCTACTGTGGTCACAATCTTGTTTTACTTTCTATGTTATGACAATCACATTATGCGACTTGCCAGTACTACCATTTGTAGGTGTCACATGTTTAACAGGAACTAAAATTGAGAATGGAAATGGGGAATGTGTCAAAGAGACAACAACCCGACCACAGAACAGACTGCTTATCTTTCTGGCGAATCTGTATTTGGTTGGTATTGTGTTGCTAAAACCTAATCTGTGTATTGTTTTGTGGCCTGTTATTTGTATTTTCGCGTTATTTTCTTTTGGTCTGAATCGATACGTGGTATGTTAACTTGTCATGAAATAGAAGTTCCTTCATAATTCAGTTCCAAATGGAAGAATTATTACAGTAGTTGTTACTTACGGAGTAATGGGTATAGAATATTTGTTCCACCTTACAATCAACCTATGCATTAAATATAGTTGATCTATTGCTTATAGTATCTAAGAAACAAACTTAACCGTGAAAACTTAACATTGACCAATGAACCAACAAAATGAGGTCAAGGTCAGATGATACCTGCCAGACAGACAAATACAGCCTACAATCCTTCTATACAAAAAATATAGTTGACCTATTGCTTATAGTTTAAGAAAAACAGACCAAAACACAAAAACTTAACACTGAGCTATGAACCGTGAAAATGAGGTCAAGGTCAAATAAAGCCTGCGATACTGACAAGTGCATCATAAAATATTTCCATACACCAAATGTAGTTGACCTACTGCATATAGTATAAGAAAAACAGATCAAAACACAAAAACTTAACTATAACCACTGAACCATGAAAATGAGGTCAAGGTCAAATGACACCTGCCAGTTGGACATGTACATTTTACAATCCTTCCATACACCAAATATACTAGACCTATTGCTTACAGTATCTGAGATATGGACTTGACCACGAAAACTTAACCTTGTTCACTGATCCATGAAATGAGGTCGAGGTCAAGTGAAAACAGTCTGACGGGCATGAGGACCATGCAAGGTACGCACATACCAAATATAGTTATCCTATTACTCACAATAAGAGAGAAATTAACACTACAAAAAATATTAACTTTTTTTTCAAGTAGTTACTGAACCATGAAAATGAGGTCAAGGACAATGGACATGTGACAGACGGAAACTTCGTAACATAAGGCATCTATATGCAAAGTATGAAGCATCCAGGTCTTCCACCTTCTTAAATATAAAGCTTTTAAGAAGTAAGTTAACGCCGCAGCCGCCGCCGGATCACTATCCCTATGTCGAGCTTTCTAAGACAAAAGTTGCAGACTCGACAATAAAACCAAATAATAACATGGTCCTCAATAATCTTATAAATACGATGACCTATAGCTACTTCCATTCACGTTATTTAAACTCTGGTGGATAGTTTACTAGTATGCCGCATCTTCTTGTTATTATTAGGATATTTCTTAGATACCAGAGGGTTCTATTGTATTGTTTTTTTTTATTCTGAATACCACGTCGTCAACACCGATCTATGCATAGTTGATTTTAATTATGACAAAGATTTAAATCACCTTTGTTGGACTAATGGGGTGTCAGACTATTGTGGTGTCGGACTAGTGAGGTGTCGGAATAATGGAGTTTCGGACTAACAGGGTTTTGGACTATTGAGGTGTCAGACTAATGAAATGTCGGAGCATTGAGGTGTCGGACTAATGGGGTTGTCGGACTATTGAGGTGTCAGACTGATTGGATGTCGGAATTTTTGAGGTGTTGGACTAATGGGGTTGTCGGACTATTGAGGTGTCGGAATAATGGGGTTGTCGGACTATTGAAGTGTTGGACTAATGGGGTTGTCGGACTATTGAGGTGTCGGAATAATGGGGTTGTCGGACTATTGAGGTGTTGGACTAATGGGGCTGTCGGACTATTTAGGTGTCGGATTAATGGAGAGTCGGAATATCGGGATGACCCCTTTTTGTGACTGATATAATGTTACTTCAATCAATTAGGTCAATAATTTATCCTGTTTTATTGTACCGGTATTAACCACATAACCTTGTCCGTACATTTACTTAATGACTGATTGATTGGTACTGTCTTTACAGTAACAATTGGTAATAACTGGGTTAGTTTTGTTTTTATCTTACCCAAACAAAATACAATCCGATCAAATGGTGTAATTTTAGTAATTTTATGACCCGGACTGCATTTGGTTAAGTGATTAAAACAATATTTAACACTACACAAAATAATAATTCAGAGCAGGCCGGGGAAGATCCAAGGATTGAATAAAGGTTTAGTCCAAAGTGCTTTAGCGGCATTGG